TATCAACTTCTCGGGTCTATGTCCTTCGGGAGTTAATATATACGCCATAGAATATATTTTTTGTTTTAATTTTTCACACAAAAGTCAGGGTCCATTTGACCCGCTAAATATTGACCGATCTTCATCAAAACGGGCTTATTCTTGGGCCCGATCTCATAATCCATGTAAAATTTCTCGACGTTTGCGCCATAATTGCGGCCTCTGGAGCGACCAGAAAAACCGACAACATTTTAGTATTTGGTCCGTTTCATCCCCTAAATATTAACCAATCTATACCAAAAACAATAGGGGTATACATTGTCCAGAAACCATCCTATATACAAAATTTCGAGAATATTGGTCCATAACTGTGGCCTGTATCGTGTTTACAAATTATAATGGACAGACAGACGGACGGACACACATGTCTAGATCGACTCAGCTAGTCGAGATATGACGATCGGTATATTTAAAAGTGGGTCTAGGAACAATATTTCGCGGCGTTACAAACTCTTGGTGCTGCACAAAGCTATAATACCCCGACAACATTGTTGTGTAGGGTATAAATATTGAAATCAAAAATATTATTTAAGAAATCCACGCCTCCTATAAAGCCATAGAAAAATTATTTAAAAAATTGACGCCTCATATGTGGCCCTAGAAAAATTATATGTAAAAGCAACGCCTCATATATGGCCCTAGAAAAATTAGTTAAAAATCCATGCCTTCTATAGGACACTAAAAAAATTATTTTGAAAAATCTGCGACTCCTATAAGGCCCCAAAAATGTATTTTAAAAAAATACAATCCTCTTTAAGTCTTTAAACCTCGTTAAATTTTATTATCTTAAAGGGTGTAAGAGACCTTCTGAGCGCAATAACCTTAAATCCATTGCTGTCACATTAGTGGCCATAGAAAAATTATTTAAGAAATCCTCGCCTTCTATAGGACACTGGAAAAATTATTTAAAACATCGACGCCTCCACTAGGACACTAGAAAATCGTTTATAAACCAACGCCACCTATAGGGCACTAGACATATTATTTACAAAATCCACGCCACCTATTGGACACTAGAAAAATTATTTAAAAAAATCAACGCCTCATATATGGCCCTAGAAACATTATTAAAAAAATCAGAGCCTCATATGAATCGCTAAAAATAATTTGTAAACCCTTTACAATAATTCTTTAAATTTTATTAACTTAAAGGGTGTAAGAGACCTTCTGAGCGCAATAACCTTAAATCCATTGATGTCACATTAGTTGCCTATAAAAACCATTGTACTATTTAAAACAACACCATACGAAGTGCCATATATTTTATTAGACATTTTTGTGCCTCCTCTTCTTTAAGTTTTTCCTATGTACACAATGTTAAATATGTAAAAGAAAAACACACAATGAGAAGTTCTCCTGCAACAAGCCGGAATTCATAGACCTAGTCCATACACTGCCATTGTCGAGCAGTGATAATAATAATGGTCTTGATTCTAGTTATAAGTCGTGTGCACATGGCAAACTTTCCGATGTATGAACACAGCAAGTAAATATTCTACATATTAAAAGCAAATGGTGGAGCCGAGTGAAAAGGGGGGATGGGGAGGTTCTCCCCTACTAGAAATGGCACAGCAAACAAAGGTAGCAGCAGGAGCAGCAGCACACCAATGTTAAGCAAACTTTGTACATTAATATTAATTTTGTTGTCATAAATCCAATGAAACGTGCGACTGTGACAGTTGTAACTACCAAAATGACTTTTACATTCCCCCACCACACACACACACATACACTCTCCATTCTGACATCATGACTAGGGATCCTTTGGTGTCCTTTGGATTTCACCGTTACTATGACATACGTTTTTATTTTGTTTGTTTTCATTTCAGTTGGCTTGCCCAAGTATTCCCTACACGGATCATGAATAGTTTTTGTTTTCGTGCTCTGAGTTTTGGGTTGAAAGTCAAACAGAATAGGGGACAGACAGACAGACGGACACATATTTATGGCATAAGTTTTACATACGTTTCTGGTTAAACTATAGACTCCATAGTCAGCAAACAAACAAGTGTTTAAATATCGGTCGATTGGTTATTATTTGGGTCAATAGTCATTTGAATAAAATAGAAATGTTAGTTTAGTTGAGCTGAGCTAAGTTTGGTTCGGTTCGGTTCGGTTGGCATGCCACCACATTTGGGGGCGGTTTTATTATTTCCAATAAAAATGGGGCCATGCCAGTGTCATATATTTATGAATAATTTATAATGTTTACAATTATTAGAGGAAACAAAACATGAAATGATTAGAAACATATTTTTTGACACTTGAAAATATGCAATATCTGTTAGGCTAAAATGACAGCCCGAAAGTATGCACTACAATTGGGAAAATGTAAATAATTAAAAACCGAACACATTTTACAAACAATTATGAGTTAAAAACCAGTAAACAAATTTTTCATTTGGTCAGATATATAAGCTATATCTAAATCTGAACCGATTTTCACGAAAATTAACACACATCATTCTAGACCTAATTCATTACGCTGTGCCAAATTTCGTGCAAATCGAAAGATATATAGGGACTTTGGTGCACCATTTACATTACATCGGATGAAAATATATACGGGAGCTATATCTAAATCTGAGCCGATTTTCACGAAACTTAACACATATAATTCTAGACCTAAGTCATTACACTGAGCCAAATTTCGTGCAAATCGAAAGATATATAGGGACTTTAGTGCACCATATACATTAAATCGGACGAAAATATATGTGGGAGCTATATCTAAATCTGAACCGATTTTCAGGAAACTTAACACACATCATTCTTGGCCTAATACTTTACACTGTGCCAAATTTCGTGCAAATCGAAAGATATATAGGGACTTTGGTGCACCATTTACAATAAATGGGACGAAAATGTATATGGGAGCTACATCTAAATCTGAACCGATTTTCAGGAAACCTAATACACATCATTCTAGACCTAATTTCGTGCCCTATTAGCACATTACGTTGTGACACATTTCGTGCAAATCGAAAGATATATAGGGAGTTTGGTGCACCATTTACTTTAAATCGGACGAAAATATATATGGGATCTATATCTAAATCTGAACCGTTTTTCAGGAAACTTAACACACAGCATTCTTGGCCTAATACTTTGCGCTGTGCCAAATTTTGTGCAAATCGAAAGATATATAGGGACTTTAGTGCACCACACACATAAAATCGGACAAAACTATATATGGGAGCTATATCCAAATGCGACCGAATTTTCTCGAAACTTGACACACATCATTCTAGCCTCAATTCAGTACACCATGCAAAATTTCGTGCACATCGAAAGATATATAGGGACTTTAGTGGCCAATATACATTAAATCGGACGAAAATATATATGGGAGCTATATCTAAATCTGAATCGATTTTCTCGAAACTTGACAAACATCATTCTAGCCTCAATTCAGTAGCCTATGTCAAATTTCGTGCAAATCGAAAGATATATAGGGACTTTGGTGCACCATTTACCTAAAATCGGACGAAAATATATATGGGAGCTATATCTAAATCTGAACCGATTTTTCCCAATTTCAATAGGGTTCGTCCTTGGGCCAAATAACAGAGCTATGCCAAATTTCATCCAAGTCGGATCATAAATGCGACCTGTACATTGTTCACAAAAATACGTGGACGGACTGGCGGACAGACAGACGGACAGACAGACGGACATGCGTAAATCGACTCAGAAAGTGATTCTATATGTATTCTCAAAAGGAACCATGGGCCTATCTCGTTCAATTTTGCCGGTTACAAACATATGCACAACGACATAATACCCTGTACCACAGTGTGGTGAAGGCTATAAAAAGGTGGGAACTTTGTAAACAATTTTAGCTGGGCCTTATTTATTTTTTTTTTTTAATATTTTCTTTTTCTAGGAGGCATGGATTTTTTTAAATAATTTGTCTAGGGTCCTAGGGTGGCTTCGGTTTTTATACCCTACACAACTATGTTATAAGGGTGTTATAGCTTTGTGCAGCCCCAAAAGTTTGTAACGCCGCAAAATATTGGTCCACCTTTAAGTATACCGATAGTCATATCTCGACTAGCTGAGTCGATCTAGACATGTGTGTTCGTCCGTCCGTCTGTCCATTATATTTTGTAAACACGATACAGGTAACAGTTATGGACCGATCTTTACGAAATTTTGCATGTTGGATCGGTTCTGGTCAATAAAGACCCCTATTGTTTTTGGTAAAGATCGGTTAATATTGAATAGGTGTAGCGTGTCATGTGGACCATTACCACAAGCCGGACAGATATTCTGCACTGTGTTATCAATTCGCGCCCAATACGAATTGAGACGACGAGCACCACTCTCGTTTGTCGCGGTAACTGCTTCTCTTCTGCTGCTATCGATGCCGGGTGAACCCCGAGGATTGTATTCACTCTGTATTCTTGAATTGCTTCCTCAGCTGCATTCGAGTGAATACGATTCAATCATGCTTGGTAGGCCTGCTGGTTTAGAGGCTCTCTTTTACACTTCTGGACCTCTCTCTCTCTAGATCATGAAGATCTTACCTGGCGTGCCTAGACGGTTGGTGCCTATCCATTTGGTGGTGGTTAGGATGGCTGCTTCTGCAGCACCCAATCAGATATTGCATCGACAACATCGTATCGTGATGACGCACAGGTGGGATCTTCGTCTCCCCACGTAAATGGTCTATCGTAGTCATGAGGAGACAACTTGTTGCAGTACTCAGGGCGGCATTTTGGTAGGATTGTATAGTTTTCCATTGCGTAGAACGTACGTTGGCGGCCACACTGGAGCCGCATAATTTACCACAGACAGGCCTATTGCTTTGTAGGTTGTCAACAAGGGTCACGGCTAGTGACTTGAGAACCTTGTTCCTGCTCTTGACCTTATCGCAAATAGCTGTGGCATGCGCGGACGACTTGTGGGGGTTATCGAATGTGACCCCTAGAACCTTGAGGTAATTTGAGGTCGGAATTATGGACCCATCGACCTGTACATTCAAGGGTAGCCTCATCTCCGCTTTCAATGTGGTAAACAGTGTGGCCGTTGAATTTGTGATTCCGCACTTTACCTCGGCGGTTCCACTGACCGCCGCCCCCATACACTCGATGTAAGGGTCTCTGGAGTCAAGCTCAAGCGAGATAGGTCTGCACTGGACAGAATGGTGTAATAGGAATGCTATTCCTCCAACTCCATTTCTTGAACCATCCTTCCTTAAGACGTTGTATCCATAACAACTTTGAAGCCTACAGTTATTACTCAGGCTGCAAATATCGCGAAATATTGCCCACGCTCAGAATATAGAACCACACAAAGATAGATTTTCGTGGAAGTTGTGTAGGTTATCATAAGATCGGCCCCGTCCGACTATACTGTTCCGATCACCGGTTTAAATAATTTTTCCAGAGCTTGGGTTTTTTATACCCTTCACCACACTGTGCTACAGGGTATTGTGTCTTTATGTTATGATATGTTTGTAACAGGCAAACATAATCGAGATAGACCCATGGTTATTTTAGAGAATATGCATAGATTCATTTTCTGAATCGATTTGTGCATGTCCGTCCGTCTGTTCGTCTGTCCATGTTAAATTCTAAACAAAGTACAGGTCGCATTTATGATCCGAATTGGATGAAATTTGGCACAGCTCATTTGTTTGGCCAAAGGACGAACCATATTGAAGTTGGGAAAATCGGTTCAGATTTAGATATAGCTCTCATATATATATTCGTCCGATTTAAGGTATATTGTGTACCAATGTCCTTATATATCTCCCGATTTGCACAAAATTTGGCACAGCATTCTGACTTAGGTCTAGAATGATGTGTGTACAATTTCTTGAAACTCGGTCCAGATATAGATATCGCTCCCATATATATTTTCGTCCGATTTGAGGTAAATGGTGTACCAAAGTCCCTATATATCTTTCGATTTTCACGAAATTTGGCACAGCGTAATGAATAAGGTCTAGAATGATGTGTGTTAATTTTCGTGAAAAGGCCCGCTAGTACAAAATGAAAAAATTCGCTGTTGCAAACATAAATTTACTGTGAAAAAAATCATTTGGGGGGGGGGGGGGCCGGGCCCCCCGGGCCGCCCCCCTGCGTACGTCCCTGGCTCCTATATATATATATATATATATATTCATCCGATTTTATGTAATTGGTGCAACATAGTCCCTATTTATCTTTCGATTTGCACGGAATTTCGCACAGCGTAATGAAATAGGTCTAGAATGTTGTGTGGTTTATGCTATAATAATTTTTTCTTGGTCCTATATAAGTCGTGGATTTTTTAAATATTTTTTTCGAAGTCATTTAAATGCTATCCATTACCATTAATATCTTGTGTTGTCTTTATGCCTTACATTAAACTATTTATTCTCCTTTTTTGTTTATATATCTCTGGCCATAAATTCATATTATTTTGATGATTATTAACCAATAAACATTGGCTACAACAACACTTTCAACACCCATTTTTGAGGTCATAACTTCGTGTGGCATTACCGCTCAAACACACATGTGTGTGTGTGTGTTTGGGTCCACCCTGGCCCATTTCCTTGCATCACTCGCCAAACACCTTCCGGAACGTTGTGCTCTGATACCAAACTAATAAGAATAACAAATAAATGAAAAAACAAACAAACCCAACGACCGACCGACCAACCGAACGGGGTAAAATATTGTTGTTTTTTTTATTTTACATGCTAACGTGTGTATGTGTTTGGATCTCTGAATGGTATTTTCCATTTTTTACAACCTACCGTGACCTACATTTTAACAGTCATCGTTGCATTTTAATGCCTTCCTTGCTACTGCCAATGCGGCTGCCACTACTGCTGCTGCTGATGATGATGATGGTGCTCTGGCGAGCAGTATCCTCTCTATGGCAGTTGTTGTTGCCGCTGTTTTTGTTGTACAAATATAATGCAACATCATACCTTGATACTACTCTGTATTCAATATTTTATGATATACATTTGGTAAACATGCTGACACACACACACATATATATACACATGTACACATATACATATACTAAGTCATAGATATGGCCGTGTGTGCGAATGCATTGTAAGTATAGAATATAAACGAACACATATGCATTTTTATGATAATATGAAATTATTATTGTTGTTGTTAAACATACACATATACATATCACAGAATATTGTTGTTGTTGTTGTCGTTTTTTCTCGGCTTTTATTTTCTTATTGCTGTTTTTGTTGTACTCACATACAGAAAGTCATAATATTTGTTTTAAATGTGTGGTTGGTTTCAGGCTTCATTCAGTAGCTTGGTGCGGTATTTAAGTTTCCAGCGAGTGATAGCGAGAGTAGTGGTTAAAGTCACCACTACCACTACTCCTAGTTTTCAACTTAACCACAATGTTAATGCGACAAAGAAGGCAAACATCAAATTCAGTTTTCTCCAATGTTTAAATTTTAGCTTGGCAAATATTATGATTTTTGAGGGGGGGGACCTAACTAGGTCGTGTTGGAATAAAGTGGAGAATTTTTAAATAATTTTTTTCGAGGCTCTACATAAGGTGTGGATTTTTTAAATATTTTTTCCAGGGTCATATATGAGGCGTGAATTTTTTAAATATTTTTTCCAGGGTCATATATGAGGCGTGGATTTTTTACATATTTTTTCCAGGGTCATATATGAGGCGTGGATTTTTTAAATATTTTTTTTACAGGCTCTATATAAGGCGTGGATTTTTTAAATAATTTTTTTAAAGGCTCTATATAAGGCGTGGATTTTTTAAATAATTTTTTTAAGGGCTCTATATAAGGCGTGGTTTTTTTAAATAATTTTGTTCGAGGCTCTATACAAGGCGTGGATTTTTTAAATAATTTTGTTCGAGGCTCTATACAAGGCGTGGATTTTTTAAATATTTTTTCCAGGGTCATATATGAGGCGTGGATTTTTTAAATATTTTTTCCAGGGTCATATATGAGGCGTGGATTTTTTAAATATTTTTTCCAGGGTCATATATGAGGCGTGGATTTTTTAAATATTTTTTCCAGGGTCATATATGAGGCGTGGATTTTTTAAATATTTTTTCCAGGGTCATATATGAGGCGTGGATTTTTTAAATATTTTTTCCAGGGTCATATATGAGGCGTGGATTTTTTTAATAATTTTTTAATGGTCCTATATAAGGCGTGGATTTTTTAAATATTTTTTCAACGACCTAAGGCGTGGATTTTTTAAATATTTTTTCCAGGGTCATATATGAGGACTGGATTTTTTAAATATTTTTTACAGGGTCATATATGAGGCGTGGATTTTTTAAATAATTTTTTTAAAGGCTCTATATAACTCGTGAATTTTTTAAATAATTTTTTCTAGAGTCCATATATAAGGCGTGGATTTTTTAAATATTTTTTTCTACAGGCCATATATAAGGCGTGGATTTTTAAATAATTTTTTCCAGAGCCCATATATAAGGCGTGGATTTTTTAAATAATTTTTTCCAGGGTCATATATAGCATTTCCACATTAAATGAAACCTTTTACAAATTAAATGAACCCTTTTCCAAATTAAATGAAACCTTTTCCAAATTAAATGAAACCTTTTCCAAATTAAATGAACCCTTTTCCAAATTAAATGAAACCTTTTCCAATTGAAATGAAACCTTTTACAAATAGAATGAAACCTTTTCCAATTGAAATGAAACCTTTTACAAATAGAATGAAACTTTTTCCAAATTAAATGAAACCTTTATTCTTATCTAAGGAACTATAATATTTGCAGTAATTTTAAACCAATATTTGAAAATTAAATCAAAGAATATTAACAAATATAGTTGTATGGCTATGTAATTAACATAAATATTCTTTAATTCTGTGTGATTTCATTTAATATCTTTACTACATAAAACTAAATTTTAATAAATAAATATTTAAGAACAAGAATTGAATACCCGGTCCTAAATGCGAAATACATATTTGACTTAATAAATTGTTGATGATAAGGTAACTGCTTATCTTAATGAAGGGGTTCCCGACTTGCAGCTTGTGGGATTTTCAAAACCATGTCCATAACGTAGTTAGAACAATCTTGCCGAGTAAGCTTTTGAATACTTCGCTCGATTACATCAACAATGTTATGTTCCATTGAAACGTCACACAGCTCAGCTCTTGGACATAATTTTATTTTTGAAAATGCATTTTCAATTGGATTTAGCATTGGAGAAAAAAGCGGTAAGAATTTAAGGTTGCATCTTTTGGATTCGATAAAATTTTTTATGTCATGCCGCTTGTGTATTTGAGCGTTATTTTCCAACTCTGGATTGATTTTCTCAAAAAAAAATTCTATAAATAATTTAAATCTGTCTGCATTGACACTGGAATTAGAAACGATTGTGTGATGTACAACTCCCGCGTTGTTTATTGCTGCAATTATAGTGACATGACGACCTCTGACCGTACGCAACACAATGTGTGCTCTTGTTCCTTGTCTTGAACGGGCTTGGGTTCTTCGTATGTGAAGATTAAATCCACACTCATCAATGAATATTAATTTTTACCTTGTTGCGGTATCCATTTTGTAAAGTCTTGAGCATATTTTTGTCTCAAGCCTAATGTTCTGAAGTCATTCTTTCGTTCTATTTCAATAGAGGCCATCTTAAACGTAATTTTTAATTTCCGTAATCCATATTCTATGCAGCTTGTGGAATATTTATATCATTTTCTCTCAACAGTTTAGTTTTTATGGCTTTGAGGGTAATTCCAGGTTGACTTTCTACATAGAACTCGATCAGACTTAAAACTTGTGGTGTCAACAACTTAATTCTATTTCCTCCACGCTTATTTTCCTTCAATGTTCCAAAATTTTGTTTGTAATTACTTCACATTGTCGAGAGTTTACTGTTTTGGATGTTCACATTATCGAGAGTTCACTGTATTTAAAAATAGCAACGTTTAAAATAAATGCGAACCTGATTTTAGCTCGGGAAGCTCTGATAATTGGGAACCTGAGGAAGAATCAATATCCTCGCCATTGCATGTGGAAATGCTCCAGAACCTACCGAAGCTACATCTACAAGACCCCGAAACAAATTGGGTCAGTATAAAAAAATAACAAATGACATGAAAT